CCGAGGTCCTCGGAGTTTCCCCTTTTTTCTATTGACCTATCCGAGGTCAATAGTGCCTAAATCGGCTCCTAAATCGGCGATATTAGGGACTTGGAGAACGGAGAACCGTTCCTTTCGTCCCTAACACGATGACGTCACCGCTGGAAGTCGTACTGTTCTCAGTTTCATTATATTTTTTTTTCAGTTGAGGCAACCAAACTAGACACGGTATTCCAAGTATGAGTTCATCATGAGGCGGCAGTTTTATTTTCAATCCCTTACCTAATGACCGCACTACCTCTGTGAGAGACAGAAAATCAACAGATGCAATTCTCATCGTCACAGCATTACTGGAGCTGTTTAAAGTATTTTGGCACAGACTGTGAAATATCTCTGAAAAAGTTGGCAACTCTAAAAAAATGGGCCAAGGAAGTTGGCAGCATTGATTGAAGCATACCTTTGGCCATTCTGCCAAGTTCTCTTAATTATTAGGACAGGGAAAGGAATTGCCTATTTGCTATTCTTTCTGTAAATTTCTCTTTACTTTAAATGAAGATAAAAAAGACACACAGAAAATAATTACAATAGAGAATTTGTTTATAGACTATCACTAGGGGAACCATAATACTGTCCTTTATCATTGCTTGTCAAGCCACTGACAACCTATAAAGCTCCTGTTCCTGCATATCATTTTATTTGTCTGTTTCTCTGCCAATTCCTACCTGGCAGATTCCTGGCATATATCTGCTCTATGATTGATTACCTTGTTTAGTAAATGGCATGAAGAAAAGGATGATTTTTTAAAAAATAATTTAAATTAAGAATCGACTCCCCATTTTTATCAAAAATTATACTGGTGTCTACACTTCACATATACCATTATTGCACAAGAAAAAATAAATAAACATAACCAAATACTTTCCTCCCAGTCCATTCCATTCTGTCTAAAATTGGAATTTATGCATTATCTTACCATATAAAAAAAACCTATCTGAGATGAATGCTCCAGTATCACAGCAAGTATTCCAGAACAGAATCCAGTAATAATAAATGACCAGGATGCATGCATCCTAAATATATTATAGTTATTTCATTTTAGTGGATTTTCTCATTAACACATTACACAGTTTTATAGAAATATCATAATTTTTATAATATAAATATGAAATAATATCACATTTCTTTGTGCTTTGACTTTGAGCAATTATCTAAATTTCTATTTTGAATTATACTATTTTATTTGCATGCAATAGGTATATTATTTGCATGCAATTATACTAACTATTTTATTTGCATGCAATAGATTATTATGGCAGACAATTTTGTAATTGTAAACCTGTTAATATAAATCCTGGAATTATTTGAGGGAAATTAATTATTTATTGACTAAAATTTTGTGTTTCTCCCCAATCAAAGACACTGGGCAGCTGACAATTATATAAATCCAAAGTCCACATCATCATATGATAAAAAATTAATATGAACAAATATGATGAATAAATAAATGTATTATGTAAATTAAAAGCCACAGTAAAAAACAATTTATAATGAAAAGTAATATCACTGAGCATAATACAATAGTGTACATAATCAAGATTTCCATCACATTCCTTGCTCAATCTGAGGTACAGTTGTCCCCTGATCCCTCACATAGAATTGACCTGTGTACGTTCTCTGTAGTTGCTGCCCATCGTCATCTCTACAATCTTGCCCCCCCCCCAAAAAATATGGGAGATGAATTGACCTAAATGCCTGAATCAATAATTACTTTTGAGTCCACATAGGACAAAGCTTATCCCATAGACAGCCTTTTTCACTTTCTTAGTCCACAGATTCCTAGATGACCTTGCAAGGTTTCAACAATTCCAATTCACCAATCTCTGGCCAGCTGACAGTTGACTATGAACAAATATGAATTATTTTGTCTGCAAAAGTCCCAAAAGTACACCTAAATGTAGTTCTTCTGATTCAGATATAGATAACCTTTAACAGTGTCACTAAATAATTTCTGGTGATGAGATAAGGGCAGAAAATTATAGACATCCCACCATCTTTACTGCTATAGTGAAGATCTGAACTTGAGCTTAATTTATTTGTTCTTAGTTTTTGACTGGAGTAAGAAATTTTGCTTCTTAAAATTAAAGCTGTTAAATTTGAGTTGGGAAAATCCTAAATGCTAGCAAAGAACTAATTATTATTTTTATCAGATGCTTATCTGGAAGTAGCTTAGCTTAGTTCCATATCTAATTTTGTTCATAGGGTCAAAACTGGGCATCTTTCTGGCTTTATGCTAGCTCATTTTCTTGGGATAACACTGAATGTCAGATTAATTAAATTGATTATATTAATGAAATTAATATTAGGGTTATCATATCTGGGTTGCAAAAATGTATACTGCTAAAGGGCAGCAAAAAGAAAAGTATAATGATTGTGTGAATTTTTGCCACATGAAATAGTATGTTTAATTAAAGTACACAATTTTATTAGGAAAATAGCAGCTGCAAGGAAGTCTGAGTAATATTCAGATCATGGTAGATAAAGAACAAAACTTTAATTTTTGGCTCCCAGTCATGAGCTTTACAAAATAATTATCTGGTCTTCCATTACCATTTACTGCATTCCATACAGTATTCTATGTAGATTTCAAGAGAAACCTTTATTGGTATCTAAATAATATCCTTGGAACTATGGCAGGAAAAAAAAATCTTAGGTGATCTTTCTAGGATTCAAATAGTAGGTAATGACAAAACTCAAGATTCATTTGTTTATTATATATCACCTTTATTATTTTTACAAATAACTCAAGATGGTAAATGTAATCAACACAGCTTCCTCCTCCTATTTTCCCCATAAGAACCCTGTGAGGTGACTTCTGCTGAGAGTGACTGGCCCAAGCTCACCCTACTGGCTTTCCTGGGTAAGGCAGGACTTGAACTCATGGTCTCCTGCTTTCTAGCCTGTTGCCTTAACCAAAACACACCAAATTGGATCTTTATTATTACTGTTATTACTGTTTTGATTTGATGCCACCTGACCCCCAAATCCACAACATGTATTCATAATTGCTGAGGACACATAAATTGATATTAGAATAATTAATTTGGTGGACTGGCATACTTTAAGAAACCAATGTTATATTTGTTTTTCTTCATATATCAAAGATACAATACATTAGTTTTTAGAAAAGACAGATGTGCAGGCCATATTTTTTTCCTCTTCTGTACAATCATGTTCAATCTTCAGATCCTGCCTAAGCAAATTCCTGCAAGTTTTTGGATTTGTAATTGGCTGACAAACCGTACTCAATGAATAGTCCTTAATAGTACTATATCCATATGGGGAGAAGTAAGCAGCGGGGTACCACAAGCCTCCGTTTTAGGCCCAGTATTCTTCAATATCTTTATAAATGACTTAGATGAGGGAATAGAAGGGGAACTCATCAAATTTCCAGATGACACTAAGCTGGCAGGAATATCCAACACCCCAGAGAACAAGCTCAGGATCCAAAGAGATCTTGACAGACTTGAACAATGGGCCCTATTCAACAAAATGAAATTTAATGTGGAGAAAAGCAAGGTTTTAGATCTAGACAGGAAAAACCAAAGGTACAAGTACAGATTAGGTGAAACCTGGCTCAAAAACAGTAACTGTGAAAGGGACCTTGGAGATGATCACTTAAACACGAGCCAGCAGTATGCAGCAGTAGCTAATGCAAAAAAGCTAATACTATCCTTGGTTGTATAAAAGAATCATATGAACTATTAGTACCACTACTCGTCCCTATAAAGCTTTTATAAAGCCTTAGTAAGACCATATCTGGAATACTGCATCCAGTTTTGATCACCACATTACCAAAAAGATGTTGAGACTTTGGAAAAAGTGCAAAGAAGAGCAACTAAGATGATTAGGGACCTGGAGACAAAAACATAATGAAGAACGATTGCAGGAATTTGGTATGGCCAGCCTAGAAGAAGAAAAAAAAAACTAGGGGGGACTTGATAGCAGTATTCCAGTATTTGAGAGGCTGCCACAAGAAAGAGGGGTCAACTTATTTTCCAAAGCACCAGAGGGCAAGACAAGAAAAAATGGATAGAAACTAATCAAGAGGAGAAGCAACCTGGAATTAAGGAGAAGCTTCTTGACAGTGAGGACAATTAACCAGTGGAACAGCTTGTCTTCAGATGATGTAGGTGTTTCATCACTGGGGTTTTTAAAGAAAAGACTGGACAGCCTCCTATCTGAAATGATATAGGGTCTCCTGCTTGAGCAGGAGGTTGGACTAAAAGATCTCCAAGGTCCCTTCCTACTCTATTCTGATTTAATATTCTGATTGAGAATGGTTTACCATTGCCTCCTTCCAAAGGCTTAGGGAAAGTAAGTAGCTGGCTTTGTATCTAAGGCACCCTAGAACTCATGGTCTCTGTTTTTCTGATGTCTGTTCTGACTGTCATTCTTCCTAATATCAACTAGAGGAATTGAAAGGGGAAGGGGTATATAGCTAACTATTATTAATAAATAGCTATTGTTTATTTGCTGAAAAATTGTATCTAATTTTTGAAATTGCTCCAAAGTTGATTTGATCTTATACCTTCATTAATACTGATTTAACTATATAAATGGAAATAAATACACATTCATACTATGCATATTTTTACATAATTAATGGGCTAGTAAACTCATTTAGAAAGGGCACCATTTACAAAACCATATGCCAGAATGTTCATTTGGCCTTGGACAGCAGGCTCTGGAATGTTGATGAGCATCTTGTGGTCATTATGACTATGATTCTATGCAGGATGGAAGTTTGCCAACAGTGAATGTGCTATGAAGAAGCTTCTTTTTGTGTATTTATACAAAGAACATTTGCAATTTATGAAGCGCCTCAGACAGTTTGGCAAATAATGAGGAGCTCTGGAAAAAACCCAAAGTGAATGTGAATATGTATTATGAAAAGGATCATATATACTCAAGTCATCTCTTCCTAACCTATGCTTCCATATTCTTGTCCATATCTTTTGTAGAACATTTAAAAGAGAAACTGGAGGAATATATGGCTCATACTGACAAAGTGAGAATTGTGCGTACCAAGAAGCGGGAAGGACTTATTCGCACCAGATTACTTGGAGCTTCAATAGCTAAAGGAGAAGTATTGACTTTTCTAGATTCACACTGTGAAGTTAATGTGAACTGGCTACCTCCTTTACTAAGTAAGTAGCATAAAATACCTAATCTGAATATTAGAGTATTTTTGCCATTGTTTCTTTCTTCAGCTCTCCTATCACTTTTGAAATGATAACTATATACAATGTCAGATAAATAGACACAAAAAGATTCATTGTGCAATCAAATGGTAGGTCCATAGCTGAGAGTGGTTCTGCCTATTCTACGTTGTGAAGAAACAAAATTTGAATGGAACATGTTTTGCAAATACAGTGCTTTCGCCATAACCACAGCACAACCATTTTCTGGAATATCATTTTTCATTGCACACCTGTGATTTTATCATTATCTCACTTCAATCCATGAAGTAAGATAGGCTTTAGCTGTCCTTAGCTCTACTTGTATTAAAGGTTTTTTTTCTTCTAATTCTGACACTGTACAAAACATTCCTCAAGCTGTGATTAGGTTTTGTCACTTCTTTCCTTTGAAGGAAATCAGTGACTTGAAACAGAAACAATTGAAGGGATTGACAGTAGAGGCACCAAATTTCAAGGTAGTTTTCTACTGGGTCAAAGATGAGAGGAAAGCATTTCCACACAATAATGGGAAACTGCAAAAATGGGGAAAGGCAGAGGCATAAGTAAATCTCTCTGAGACCTAAGGCAAACATTCTAGTTGGAGCTGCCAAAGAGAAAAGTTCAGGTGTCAGCCTCTTATCTCAGACAGCAAGTGATGGTGAGCAGGAGAAAGGGAAGCAGGTAATATTGTAAGTGCTTCTTCAATACTGTCACTGTAGCAGCAGCAGCAAAAAATAGTCATACAAATATATTTTTCCGTCCTGTTCAACTTCCTGTACTCATTGCCTCTGCTTCCTCAACACTCCATTTGGAGTCTGAAAGCCTTCTCTATTAGATTTACTGCCATTAAGGACAGGCAAAAAGGTTCTGTTTTTCTGTGATGCTCAGAAACATTGACTCAAGCTTAATAAAAGTAAGTCTGCTGACAGTTCCATGCATTCATAAAGCAAAGCAACAATGCATACAATTATTTAAATGCTGGTGAGGCAGAATCATTATTCAACAAGTCGCACAATTCCGAGACTGAAAGCCTGAGATGGTTATGTGGACAGAACAGGTATTTAAATTCTAAAGGCAGACTGTCTCACACTTAACCAAATCTCAAGAAAAGTACTGTTCTAGAGGCAGGACCAACAGAGAAGGCATGTTTATTGAGCTCCAGAAGATAATATTGCCTAAACTAAATGACCCAAAGTCTGCTGACAATGTCAGATCATACTAGATGAGAAGATGTTTTTATATTTAGTCACCTGATGAATCAGTCAAAGTTATCTTAAGAATCCAGTATAATTTGGGATTCATCTGAATATCCTTTATGCCACTAATATTGTGAGATGAAATAAATACCCTAAAATTTTGGAGCTTCTTTTTTGCAAATTAATTTTTGTAGATTAATTCAGACATAAAATAGTATTATGGGGTATATAAAAGTGTAATGGACTGGAAGCTCCCTGCCTTTCAAGTACTGGGTTACAGTAAAGCCAAATATATTTCAATAACAAGAAGCAGCATTTTCTTTGTGAATATTGTATGCCAACCTCAAATGAGCATTTTTCATTCATTTTTCTTTCTAAGCATCCTTGTTGGCTCCTTATGTGGCAGACTGGAGACAACATAGAGCAGCGCAATGACAAAGATATACATGGTTTGACTTTGATGGTCTCACTGGGATGCTTCTCTCTTTGAAGAACTATAATTGCTTCTAATCATTGTGCAAGTGCTTCAAGCCCAGACAAGACTGAACTTGGATGCAGATATGAAAACTGAAATGTTTCTAGGGCCGTGGGGACTTGCTTAAGCAATCTTCCGATTAAAAAAATAGTAAAGCAGAGGAAGAAGCCCAAGGGTTTTTATTTTGGGGGGGGGGAGATGATAAATGGCTTAATTGTCTTGCTGTTTTTGTACTTTCTGTTTTCATATTTCAGATCAGATTGCACTGAACCATAAAACTATTGTATGTCCCATGATTGATGTCATTGACCACAATCACTTTGGGTATGAGGCCCAAGCAGGGGATGCCATGCGTGGAGCCTTTGACTGGGAAATGTATTACAAAAGAATACCAATTCCACCGGAGCTCCAAAGGACTGATCCCAGTGACCCTTTTGAGTAAGTAGTCATTGCACTGAGCATGAAAATGAAACACTACAGATGATAGGACCTTGGAGTAAATTAGGCTCAGATTGTATAGTTTTATTAAAACTAGTAACATGCAGGAGCCATGGAGAGAAAAATCAAAGGATGGATGAAGGGATCCATAGGAATGCCTCTAGCACTGTAGTTTGATCAGGAAGAAATCTGGTTAGCCAAAGGCTCTTTATCATTAACAGGAGAAAAAATAGTAGATAATGGAAAATAAATTTATCTGTGTTGATTCCTATTACACAAAATAGTACCTTATTTTTCGGAGTATAAGACACACCTTTTCCCCCCAAAAAAGAGGGTGAAAATCTGAGTGTGTCTTATACTCCAAATGTAGCCCTGACCAGCTTCTCAAAGGGAGTTTTCAGAGGCTGAAAAAAGCATCAGAAACGAAGCTTCAGAAAAAAAGCCCCCAAACAGAGCTTCAGAGGCTTTTTTTCTGAAGCTCTATTTTGCAGGCTTTCAGAGGCAGGAAATAAAGTTTTTTCTGAAACGGAGTGTCGGAAATTTCAGAGGCAGAAAAAAAAGCCAAAAAAAAAAGCAAGGCACCGAGCTCACAACCAAGGAACCTGTTGCTAAAATTCACCTCTGGGAACAGCTGATTGGGGGTATTCTGGGAGGCCAATCCACCTGCCAATCAGCTTTTTTCTTATTTTCCTCCCCAAAAAACTAAGGTGCGTCTTATACTCTGGTGCATCTTATACTCGGATGCGTCCAAAAAATACAGTATTTAGGAGACTTTGATTATTTGTTTGCTAGAGATTAGCGCAACAGATAATCTAACTTCAGTTTGCTCTCATCTAGCTAAGGAATTACTATTGATTGTGTTGCTATTATATGCATCTTGTTATTTTTTATTTATTTATTTGTGACCAGCGTTTATTATTTTTACAAATAACTCAAAGCAGCAAACATATCCAACACACTTTCCTGATCATAGTTTTGCCATAACAACCTTGTCGGGGGGGGGGAGTGTGGTTGGGATGAGAGAGAGAGACTGGCTTAAGCTCAGCAATTTTTCATAGCTAACATAGGACTTGGATTCATGATCTTCCACTTTCGCACCTGGTGCTTTAACCAGTAGACAAAATGGCCCAGGTGATACACAACTGATTGTGAATAAGTTCAAATAAGCCAACATTTTATCACTAATATTGCATGGTTCACAATTTTTTTAAAAAAATTTGATTTATATGCTGCCCTTTTCCAGAGACTCAGGGCGGCTTACAGTGCGTTAAGCAATAGCCTTCATACTTTTGTATATTTTGTACAAAGTCAGCTTATTGCCCCCACAAACTGGGTCCTCAATTTACCTACCTTAGAAAGGATGGAAGGCTGAGTCAACCTTGAGCCTGGTGAGATTCGAACTTACTTTAATTGCAGACAGCTGGTGTTAAATTACAGTGCTTTTAGTCTGCAAAGCTATCCAGTCTCTCCCTAGTCTTCACAAAGTCAACTCCCTTTTTTATTGATTTTTTTTTGTCTATATTGTAAAATAGAATTTATGTTCATCTGCCAACAAAACTAAAATCCACTGTCTTTCTTGGGAAGCCATAGGTCCTCTCATCACTGCATGATCCATTCTTATCTCCACCTAGAGGCGGAAACTTAAAAGTACAAAGACTGTGATAAGAACAGTGAAGAGTGTACTGAGGAGGCAAAGTAAAAGATACAGGTTGCTCCGATTGCATGGACTGGAGTATGTTTGAAGCTGCTTCAACGTACTTAGATGAATTTACTGAGATTGTGACATCATATGTTAGCATTGTGAGGACAAAAGGTTTGTGTATATATAACAACAATAAGCCTTGGTTTATAGCTAAGCTCAAGCAGCTTTGTTGTGCAAAAAGGAGGCCTACAGGAAAGAAGGTAGGATCTTGTACCATCAGGCCAGGAATATCAACAAGGGAGATTTCCCTTGTTGATATTCCTGGCCTGATGGTACAAGATCCTAACTTCAGGGTAGCAAAGAGAAGCCACTCTGAAAAGCTGAGAAATCTGTTCTCAGCTAATGAATCTGCAACTGTGTGGAGAAGCCTGAAGAACATCATTAGCTACAGCAGACAATTCCTGAAGAGAATTGTCAAGTGCAGATGACCTGAATGTGTTCTGCTGTGAGTTTGAGAGGAGAACACTGTCATTCACTTCAAATACACCAACAGTAGCCAATTTTCTTCCACCTATTTCTGTTCCTCTAGGCTTCCACACCTCTGATGAGCTTAGAAAAAGATTTGTGAGTCTATTTCATAGACAAAAGGTCAGAAAAGCACCAGGCTTAGACAGAGTGACTCCTTCTTGCTTGAAAGCCTGTGCTGAACAACTGGCCCCTATCTTCACATGATTTTTTAATAAATCACTGTGTTATGTCCCTCCTTCAAATGCTCTGCCAACATTCTGGTTTCTAAGAAATCCTCCATCAGGGAGATGAATGAATATAGGCCAGTTGCTCTGACATCTGTAGTTCTGAAGACCTTTGAGAGGTTAGTATGGATAGTTAGGACTGCAAAAAGAACAGTTACAACCAGCCTGCCTCCCATAGAAGGCCTGGATATTGCACAGGTCAGGAGAGTTGAGAAGATATCTGCAGACCCCTAACATCCTGGACATAAACTGTTTTCAACTTCTCGCCTCAGGGATGATTCTGCATGACAAAACAACTAGACACACAAATAGTTTTTTTTTCCTCTTTGTGACATCATTCTGCTGAAGACTTAGTTCTCATAATGTTGTCTAAAGTCTATGTGCATTTACCCATGTAATATGGCTGTAATATTGTTATCCTTATATTATCTTCTTTACTCCACTCTCTTATTGGTATTATTATGATTATCATTACATTCTATTGCTTTGCATGTACACTGAGAGTTTGCACAAGTGACAAACTCCTTGTGTCTAATTAGACTTGGCCAAATAAAGTATTCAATTCAGTGTGTGTGAGAGGGCGGGGAGGGAGAGGGAGAGGGAGGGAGAGTGTCAGATGTTCAGACTGGCTTTGGCATTTTTATCCACGTACCAAGTCCTTCCCAAGGAGGAGGTAGATGTAGATGTTTGATGAGGTATTGTTGCAGGATGTAGGCTGTTCCAAGCAAAGCTGCCTTTTGCAATTGTCTGGTGCTGAATTTGTCAATGCCAATGGTGTTTAAGTGCTGCTCCATTTGTTTTGGGATTACATGCATGTGATTCTTGGTACTTCCTTTGCTTTCTTTTGCCACAGGCATGTGTGTATATGCCTGTGTGTGTCTGATTTTTGTTTTTTGTTTTAATACTGTATAATGCTAGCTAAGTAGGATTTTCATTCTAAGCACAGTATAGAATTCCTACTTACACAGCATGACAACCAGTCCCTTCCCTTCTGGAAATAGAAATTACTTCTACTACCACCTCAGTTCTACAATTAGGTTAATGCATACCAAACAAAAGACTAAGTCTGAAGTAGAGCAATAATCTTTCAAAAAGTCTGAATACTTTTCAGACTAGGCCCATATTATTATATGTATTCCAAACAGATTTTATTTAAGAATCTGTTCTGAAATTTCTACAGTGTTGCCAAAAGCATCCATTTCTAACCTGGTACCTTCCAAGTACATTTCCTCTCATTCCAAGTCAATGTAATTCAAAATATATGGAAAAGGCTTGTTTTTAGGAAGTCTGGCCTATGAAATCCTGCATGTTTCTTTGATAGGAGTTCCGTTTAGTAAGAGAAAGATTTCCCTACTCACTGAATTAAGAATTGATACAGAATAGGTGTTTGCCATATAAACAAAAACCTGTAATAGTTTTTTGCAAGGATCCATATCACGGTTTTGTTTTGTTTTCTGGTAGTGTTTCAAACATTTGTACATTCTTGCTGATCAAAATCAGACTTTTTCACCCAAGCGGTTTTGTTAGAGGTTGAAGAAATATTATTCAGAAGAGGGAACTTCTTATTGACAAAAGATAATGATTTTTTCCTTTTGATAGCTGGTGAAGCTTTTATTATTTAAAATGCATTTGTTTCAGAGGGAATGTAAATCTTGCCTGCTTCTCTGCCTGTATTTGGGGAGGGGGGGGTGTTTGTCCCTTTAATTTGTTTGCCTTGGGGAAGAGTTAATTATTAGACTCTCTGATTAAAATATAATATAATTGTGTACACTAAATAATTGTATCCAAATGAGTATATAATTAATTCTAGAAAAAATTTACCCAACTTTATGACCAATTTCTTGAAGATTATGCAATATTCTATGCAGCAAGCTACCCTTCAAGATCTGTTTATGCATTCAGGCAGCTTTCAGAACTTCTGGAGGATTTCTTTTACTACCTCTAAAATCTTACCTTCTTTACAAGATTTTTACAAAGAAAAAAAATATATGAATGAAATTGTAGGGGAAATGAGGGTTGTAAATACAGAATGATAGTATTTTCTCTTCCCACTGACTCTAACAAAATTCTATGAATGAGTAAATAATTACATAATAAGAGCTTCATCTGGATGAAGCCTAAATATTACACATTGCTATTTCATTCAAGCATTGTAAGTAGGATATTAACCATTTTGTATGTCTGGCAACTTTGTGAAGATTCAGTTTGCAATTCTGATTCCTGAAAATCAATAAAACTAATTGAGGAATAGATCTGCCCTGGACTGGACTTTTAAACAATACAAATATCTTGCCATTTAGTAAATTTGATGTGTCTGATAATTACATACATTGGGATTACTTCTCAGTGTCAGGGCATATTCTGGCTTTCTAGAAGAGTATTAAGATCCGGTTCAGTCAAGTAACATATGAGTGATATGCAACCCTGGGAGTGGTTGATAGCTTGAGGATGCTTTCTTCATCTTTTTACCTTTGTCTATTTCTGTAGGATTTTATGAACTTTTTTAACTTGCTGAGAGTCACTTAAAGGACCCAGTTTGTGGGGGCAATAAGCTGACTTTGTATAAATATACAAAAGAATGAAGGCTATTGCTTAACGCATTGTAA